TAGTACAATAGAAAAATACCCACCCTAAATTTATGTCGATCATTTCCTGATTGTAAACTTTTGTCCACCGAGTGTATTATTATAGATTATATAATGATGTATTATAATATATAATAGTATAATAATATATAATAATATACAATGATGTATTATAATATATAATATTATATAATAAATATAATAAATAATATAATAAATAGAACACAAAACGCCTCAGAGAAATTACACATATCTGTGCGTATTTTTGACGATGATGTCGTTTGATTATAAGATGATGCGTGCGGAAGATGAATAGTTTTTTGTGTTTGTGTTCGTATGTTTGTATGTTGTTGGGTTTTTGTGTTCGTTTTTGCCTGTGATACATCAATGTTTTCGCTTCTTTATTTCCTGTAAAATGTACATACATACTTGCACATACATATACATATGACTGCAGAAAATGCACATAGCTAGCGCATTGCATTTTTCTTATAATAACAAATGCAGTAACACGCAGACAAGTGATAAGTAAAGTTAAGCAGAATGAGGAAATGTGGTCGGTCATTGATTGCATGATATATCATTTATTTAAGCGTAAATAAGAAAAAGGAGAGCGGAAGTGAGAGAGAAAGCGATTTAACATCAAAAACAAATCCAATTCTCTCTCGTTGTGTTGATTTTTAGTAATCGGAATCATTACGAGAGCACATAATATAATCGGGGACAAAGCCTACCTGTAAGTTTGTAAATAACAAGAACGGGGGTTAAACAGGAAAGTAAAAAAAAACAAGTAGTTCGTTTAGTTGGGTGAGTGAATGAATGACTCGATGAATTGATAAATAAATAGATGGGGATTTTTGCGCTTGTATTTGGCTTATCTTTGCTTTGCAAGTTTTGATACTAGTGCTTTTTTGCTCTTTTGCTTGTTTATTTGTATGTATGTGTATTATCTATTATTTGTATTACTCGCTCCACATCAATTAACACTTTGTTATCAATCGACCAAACACAGAAATACATGGAGAACCTGTATTGGAAAAATATATACTACGCCTGGTAACTAAATAACCTAACCTAATAGTTGATTTAATTAATTAATCAATTTATTTATTTATTTATTTATTTATTTTTACTTACCCTATGTGATTCCACTTCACCTTAATCAGATTTACGTCTCGAAAACCATAAAATACTGGTTTTGTTGCTCCTCTTTGTTTTGTCCTCGTCACAAGAATACCTATGATCCAAAATGCCCAAATTGATGTTGCATTTCGTGTCCCTCCCAAAAATCATAAGAATCATGTGAATAACCTTATCGATCATAATTAGTATACCGTGTTTATTTAACGTTAACGTTAACGTTAACATTAACGCGCACGCATTAAATTCTGACCTGCCTTAATAAATATTTGTGGACACGTATTACAAATTGATCGTCCAAGTATATTTGTGTTGGACCATATCTATTTTACATCTATGTACGTGGATAATTGTGCAACATCCACATTAATTAGCATTGATAATTAATTATATTTGTGTGTAAACCATTAAGTTTTCTCTAATGGAAGAGATGTCAACAGATCATACAACATATAAAATACTAAACTAACTAAATAGCATAGACAAACACACTGACCAAATCCAAACGTGCAAGAAAATATGCATCAATGGCTAAATATACACTCGAAAATCCTGCCCAATTTTCCCGAAATTCATTTGATGCACATCACACCTGGAACTTTTTTATTTGTAGAATCCAAAGCATATATCTATTACATAATAGACAGACATACAGATGTAAGACACTTATTATGTACTCACCTTTAGCATTTATAAAATATAAATATAAGAATTACGTTACTCACGTGAATAAACATGGCATTTGAAGTAATAAATATATTATGTACACATTTAATTAGATAACTTTATTTTACCATATAATCGTTTGACAAGTAACTTTTTATTATCATCCCAATATAAAATTACTATGCATGTATATATTGAAGTAATAAGCACACACAATGTCATTACAACTTCAGAAAAACTGCAAGAACCAGCAGCACTTAATAACTTTCCAGTATTTTTTTTATACTACAAGTATTACAAAACAATAAATCTTTGAGCGAAACATCAACAACACCTGAAAGTCAAGACAAAATAAATAAATAAATAAATATACATATTATACATAAATAAATAAATAAACTACATATTCTTGTTCCTCCTTTTTTTTCTTCTGATTCTTTTTTTAATCAATAATAAAAATAAATAAAATAAAAATTATCTGTTGGTACTCTTTTATTATAACATAAACAACAACGAGTGACACACTAAAACTAAAACTACCGATAATACTATTTTTCGTTTCTTGCTTCGTCTTCCTCGTCTTTGACTTGTTTTCTTCTCTGTCTTGTTTCTCTTCTGAATTTTTTCCTTTAGATAGACATCATCATAATATAAAAATAAACTACTGCTTATAATAAAATCACTACGATATTAAACGAGAATCCTACTACAACTATAACTAATTCTAATATAATAGTTTTAATAATAGTACGAATAATAAAAAATAATATCGCTACTAATATTAAAAAAGTATTAATATTAATCAATGAACATGAACGCGAGAAAAACATCAATATCAAGTCTAATGAACGATACATCGACAACAAGTTCCGGTCCGCCCGCGTCAACCGGATTCAATCTAACAAACATTTTAAACGAAGACCCACCAGCGCAACACTATCATCACTCCAATAGCAATAATAACATTGGCACGGCGTCGTCGACGTCGTCGTCGTCAAGTTCGTATCCTCCTTTAACACCACCCCCTCATAATTCTTACAAACAACAGCCACAACAACAATTACCCCCAACTAATGAACTTTACTATAACTCAACTCTTCGTGCTACACCACTGCAGCAACATCATTATCAATACGCGCCGTCTAATCAAACTTCTCATCACCACCAGCATAATCTGTCTTCGCAACCGGAACTTGTTGCACATACCAATCAGAGTAATAATAATCAGAATAACAGCAATCATATCACTAATAATAATGTTAATAATAATCAGAGTAACAATAATAATAATAATAATAATAGTAGTTCATCATATGATGATGAAAGTGCGGAAGCTAGTTCAATATTAATTTCTTTGGCTCAGAGTTCTAATCAACTGTCACCACCAACACAACCAACGCAACCATCAAATTATCATCAACATCCAAATCATCATCATCAGCGACATCATCATCATCACTATCAACCACCTCATCATCATATATCATCATCTAGAGAACGAGAAAGTGAACAACAACATCTGTCAGATGTTGAAATAGCTGCTAATGCGATCTCCTCCTTGTCTCATCCTCCCGACTTGAAACCTGTCCCATCACATCATATTCACGTGAGTATTTATTAATCACATTCGAATTAAAAATGATTGATTACATATGATCGAGTTAGAAAAAATTATATTTAAAATAAAATAAATTGACGCTCCTTGATTGATGATTGATTCACTAATTATATTATGTACATTTATTGTATATTCGATGATGATTCTTTTGATAATTTTCTCTTCTTTTCAAAATCATTCCGTTGTGCATTATCGTCGTCGGTGCTTTACTCTCGATGACTTCTCTTCTCTCTCTCTCTCTCTCTCTCTCTCTCTCTCTCTCTCTACCAATCGCTCATTTTTCTATAACCAAATCAAACACCAAATTTTCAACACCTTTAGCAAAAATCAAGAACAAAGAATACTCCAATGTCAATTTCTGCGCTAATTGGTTCGTGTGCATTTATTCATCTCGGAATATTCGAGCGTGCACATAAATAAATTCATTAACTTCTATTTCTTTTTGTTAAACGAGAAAAATATTATTAATCCCTAGTTTATTTTTCCCATTTATCTTGACTATTTATAGATGAATCGGCTCCAACATCGAATGAATCGGTCCATAATACTAATAACAACAATAATATACCTCCTCCTCCGATGGTTCTTATAATATTTGATTATTAATCGAGCAAACCTTTTTTTTTTTGTTATGATTCTCATTTTTCAATGATTGTATTAAATTAGGAGATTTCACCACCTCATTCGCAACAACGTTACCAACATGATCAATATCAGCATCCTCCTATGCAGGAAGACATAAGTCATCATGTTGGAAATGCTATTGACATTAATGTACAACAACAACAGCCACAAATTCCTCCCGCTAATAATTATTCTCAGATGAATCATCAAGGTCTTAGCGGTAGTGGTAACGTTAACGGTAACGGTAGGCGTAAACGACAAACCGTAAGTATATCCGACTGGTCAATTTTATGAAAATTACGTCCTAAATAATTTTTTTCTGCGTTATCAGGGTACACAAAATCTATCGGTTAACACAACCGCACCAAAGATACCGCAAAAAGAACCGAGAGGTGTAGGGAAGCGCAATAGTCCGCATAAAAGAAGACCTTCTGATGCCAATGATTTTGGTAAATATCACTCTCTTCCTCAATAATTTCATTATTTATTGAAAATTATTTGGGAGTGTCTGGGTTTTCTTTTTTGGCTTGTGTACGCGACGCATTTTTGATTTTTTATCAATTTGCGTCGTCTTCTTTTATATGTATTTTATTGTATTTAAAGGTGCACAAAAGACAAAAGTTCCGCGTACAACTCATTCACTGAACCATTACCATTCAGGTGCTCCACCCTCATCTGCTGTCGGTGGTCACAGATTGAATGAATTAGTGGAACATCTCGGTGAAGATCGTAAATATCATTACCTTGAGCCCTATCAATGTAAGTCCTATTGAATAAATAATCTTAATATACGCATATCTAATAATAATAATTATTATTATTATTTGAATATGTTTATTTTATTAGCCCCCATGGATTGGGAACGTAACCGATCACAACAGCAATCTCCAATTTATCAAAATCGATTATCAGATAACGGTGGACAATCTCTTAATGAGACGGTTCTTAATAACAACATTGGAAATCGGTTTGTATATCATTTACAATCTCTGTAGATCACCAAAGATTCATCTTCATATCCTCTGACTAAACCGACAATATTCTCGCAATGTGATCCAAACAATCACAGAGCATTAAAGTCATCGCCACCGATGCCTTCTCAACCCACAGTTAATGGATTTTCCCACGTGTCACAAGTAGGAGGAGTTGGTTCAATGGTAAGTAACACATAATGCAATTATCTGACATCAATAAATCATTCAACTCTTTAATCATTTTTTTACATAGGAAATGACACCACCTCTCCCGTCACAGTCGATGCATCATGCTCCAACACCTAATGGACAGATTCCAACCACGGCTGCTGTTTCAAGTCAATTCACAGATAAATATAATTTAATGGTACGTGCAATTTCTTGTTGCAATGATTACCCATCGAATTTGCCCCGCCTTCTTTGGAATGATTTTATGATCAATTCCCTTTTGAAACAGAAGAATGATCCGAAATTAAAGAGGAATGCGGCGCACGCTTATATCACTTACTTGATTTATACGAACCAGATGATGGTCCGTACAACTATCTGATTATTTATTTGTTTGTTGTTTTTGTTTTAAGATTTTACATCTACGAATTGTCTATTGATGTGGATTTTTCTGTCTCTTGTCATTACTAAATTTCACACCATTTTATGGATATTTCTTTATTATCCCATGATTTTATTATGGCATTTCTTTCTTTTAAAATCAAAAATACAAACAGGAAAGAGAAAGAGTAAAAGATAATATCTCGCAACCACCTCCACATCATCCATCTCGGCATCAACAGACAATGCTCAATGGATCCTCATCCATTAATAATGTAGATCATCACCATACAATCACAAATTCCCCAACACAAATGGTGACTCACCATTCAGCACCACCGCCACCAAATCAAGTAAATGGTGGTGCTACCATGTATGGAGGCGGATCACGTATTGACCATCAAGCATATCTTCCCCCTCCTTCCGCAGTGAATCCAGCTGTATATCATGACGTAAGTTAACATTTGTGAATTTTATTCGCTTTATGATAGAAAAAAATTATTTCTCACACGAGTTTATTTTTAAATAATCAATAATCATTATAAATAGTCTGCAGTTCACCGTCGAGCTTCAGAGCCTGTACAGCAACCAAATTCTAATCCCGTTCCAGTTGCGGCACGTAATCATAACTATTCTTCGCATCATCAATTAAATAACAACCCGCCAACACCATCATCTAATGTTTTGCCGCAAGCACCGCCACCTCCACTTCCACCTTCAAATTCACGTCATTCGAATATTCCTTCCCATAATTCATCTCCAAATCTACATCCAATTCATTCACCTTCAGTGAATTCTCATCATCAAAATAGAACTCACTCGATGCCGGACATTCGAGCTGCGATGCCAGAATCTCTTAACAATAATAGGCAATCAACAGCCACGATAGGAGCAGGTGGTGGTCATATAAATCAACAACCACCATCACACGGAGTACCAACGTTACCACCAATTCAACCGGGAATACCACCACATCATCAACCACAACATCATCATCATCCTCCTTCCACCCCTCATCCGACACATCATCATCACCATCGTCATTATGTTCATGATGGACATGCTAATAATCAACAACATTCCGCACATTCGCATCATTATCATCAATCAATGCCGCAGAATAATCCACCGCCATCTCAGTCTTATATTTCACCACAAGGAGGAGCTCCAATCTCATCATCTCATTCTTCATATAATAAAGCAGGTGGATCAACATCAATACCTCACTCACCTTCTATGGGACCAGTTATAACATCGAGGGTTCCACCGTCAGGTCCACCTCAAACGAATCATTATCAACAATCGCCGCCACAACAATCTAGTAATGGTAATCCACGTCTGCCTTCTGTTGGATTAACATCACACCATCACCCACATCTTTCAGAGACCGGTGTAAATGGAAATCCGCCACAACCATCGCCAATTGGAATACCAAGAGAACCTTATCTTCGGGATCAACCTGGATATGTGGGAAATGGTCATCAATCACACCATCTTCATCAATCTCCTCCTAATATTCCACATCCAGGTCCTCCGGTGGGAGCTGGTGTAGGACCAGGAAATGGTCCAATTCAGAGAGGAGGCGGTGGTTCAACTTCATATTATCACTAATTTCGCGACAAAAAATTAAATCATATTATAATATAATTACTATCGTCGTTATTCTTTTATTATTATCATTTTATTATTATTATTATTATTATTATTATTATTATTATTATTATTATTATTATTATTATTATTAGATGGGGATGACGAGTTAAAAAGCAAATTAGATAAATGGCTGATATAAATAAGAATTGATTCTTATTCAAGGTGGTGGTTACCGTTACTCTGCTGTACATAGATGGCTATATATATGAGTGGGGAGAACTGCTGGCATGATTAGCCAACAACATCCCTTTTTTTTTTGTTCATTTTTTACGATGATAAATATTGTTTAGGTTTTTTATTATCTTTTGAAAATATTTCTTTTTTTTGTCTTTTTTAACAAAATCAATTAACTCCCTACTCTTGTGTATACCTTTTTTCTTCTTTCGTGTATGTAAGATATTCCTTTTGATACTCAGCATCATTGTCATTCATCTTTCTTAACAAAAAATTTCAATTATTTTGCGCGATCAACGAATCGAAAATTTTTTTGTTTCCCAAAAAAAAAAACTTTCTGTACAGTTTTCGCCTATATTTTCTCTTGATTAAATTTTTGTGCATATCGATATTCAACAATGTCGTTGCTATATCTGCCATCACGCTAGAATTTATCCTAAACTGTTAATGCCGATTTATTAAATGATACCATTCAGATATCACACATGAATCAAGCAATGATGATCATTCATTAAATTGCATCATAAATAAAATTACATAGAGTAATAATATACGATATACATGTATATATAATAGAGATCAACCATTTCATCCTCTTACACAACATATTCACATACTTTTATACTCTTTATTACAACTATTATTACCATAAAAGTCTGACACTTCAATAATTTTATTTTAGTTTTTCGGCGGGAATTTTGTTTTATCATTGGTAATTTACTACTTTTGCACTGTTCTCTGCTATACTATACACCACACCACATTTCCCTTTAGATACAAAATCACCGAATAAAATTGACACTTTGCTCTTTCAATCTCGAAATCTCTTCCGTTTTCAAATCGAAAGCTCTCTTACCTACATTGCCATAATATAAATGGCTGCTGCTTTCAAGACTAAAAGTTCCTATGAATTTGTCTTGTCTGGGATTTCCACCCTTACCTCGACAATTTACAGCCCACCGTTCGGAACTTCTCACGACATGTTTTGGCAGCTAGAGTTCATTCCTGTACGTATTCAACCGCTGCTGTCTCTGAAACTGATAGTTTTTGTTTAATATTTTTCTTTCAACAAACGCACACACAGTCTTCATCGGAAGAGCCAGACTATTGTGCTGCTTTCTTATTTGCGATACCAAATCATGAGGAAGCAAATACTAACTCTACTTGGGCAAGACGTAATAACTTGAGTGCCAAACTATTCTTGAAAAATCCTAGGAACAATACGCTCTACAAGAAAACGCCCGTGAAAATGAACTCATTTTCCGCGAAATTATCCGGCTGGGGTATGTATGTAATAATACTACAGAAGATCATGCATTGTTCTATTCTATCATCTCCTTATTTACCGCCACTAAATTGATAGGATGGGAGGCCTTCTATAAAAAGGCAACATTACCAGATCAAGTGACTTTTGGGGTAGAATTTGAAAAAGTCGAAATTGGACTAGTCTCACAAAAATGGCCGTTGCCGAGTAATCCACATCCATATAATCATGTGCCGGATGATTTGGTGCGTGCATGGGAAGGTCAATTAAATAATCCGCAAAGTGCGGATGTGCAATTTAGTGTTCAAGGAAAAATAATTTACGCGAATTCTGCTATTCTTTCAAATCGATCGAAATATTTTCGACAAATATTTCAAGGGTCATGGGCTGAATCTGCTTCTACTGACAATAGTATCGTAAGACCATCTGTTACACCCTCAATCATCAATAACACCAATAACGTGATCCCCGCCAATACATCGACGATTATTCCGGCAGATATTCATCTCGTTAATCTGTCGAAATTCGCTCATAATATTGATGTGCCTGATTTTCATGACGAAACTTTTCTGGAGATGCTTCGTTTCCTTTACACTAATCGTGTGACATTTGCCGATAACAAGGATGAAGATACTCACACAACTGCACTTGACATGTTTTGTATCGCGGACAAATACTTGATCGATGATCTAAGACAACTAGCAAAACTAGAGATATTTAAGGATTCAAATGTCAATGATGCTGCAGAATTTCTTTTCGGTACCGCGTGGAAATATCCCGAATTGAAAGACCAAGCTATGAAATTTGTCGTGAGTAATTTTGTTGCTGTACGACAGACTGCCTCGTTTAAGAATATTCTCGCGAACCCAAATGAATATCCCGCTTATACAGATTTAATGAATGAAATATTCGAAGAATTATTTCCCGCTACAGGGATTGAGAACACTGGAAAACCTGCAAAGGATGATTAATCAATCAATAATACAAGAGGTGCAACATGTGGAGTTGAACTGAAACGTAATGGGACTGGAGAATGGGGGCTCATCGAAGGTGGATCCCATCATGAACAAAGAAAAATTTCCAATCTATAAGCATCATTCATTTGTTGTTAACTCACATAATCATCCTTTCTCCAATAATTTACGGTTTTCACAAGATACAGTAGTAATCCTAGTATGTTTATTAAATTAAATTGTAAATAACTAATTTTCATTAATGATATTATGAATTAAGACACACCCATGCGCTGGCTCACCATTAGTGTGAGCCTGCATATACAAAATAATATGCAAAACTAAATACAAAATGTCTATAATTTATACAGAGTTGGGAGTCAAATGAATTTCTCCTCCCACATAAATACACATTCGTTATATCACACTTTATCCTGCATTTGTGTCTTTTTCTCTTCTTCGTTAATTTTAGGTTTTCGCAATTTCTTTATGCCTTTGCTCACTTGTTTTTTCACAGCTTTATAAGCATCGCGTGAAAAACCGCCACAACAGATTTTATAGTAAAGACGTCCACCCAACATTATGCTCGCAACACCCAAGAACGCAGCACTCCAAGAGGCCAAATGGATCCCTGGTCCGGTGTGTTGACTTCCAATACCAGGTATGACTGATATTAGATCAAACACCCAGACGAACACCAATAAATCAAAGAACAGTGCGAGTCCATTCAGGATGGTAGACGCGAGCAGGAATAAAGTTGCAAATGTTGGGAGATGAAAGTAGAGTAAGATCAAGGAACAAACGTTCGATAAGAGGGCAAGTAAATATGGAATAGAGATGAATCCGGAAAAATTGGCGGTTGTGTGTTTTGGTTTGAAATTTTCGAATTCTTTTAGTAACGAATTTAATAGATTGGTTGCTTCTTTGATAATGTCACCGGCAGCATCAACTACCTTTCCGCCTGCATCTTTTGCAACGTCTACAGCATCTTTTCCGATGTCTGCAGCTTTTTTAGTGGCATCTGAATTACTGATCGATTGGCCGACACCATTAGCTGCATTACTAGCGGAGTTGCCTGCACTATTTGCGGCATTACTAGCGGAATTGCCTGCACTATTTGCGGCATCCCCCGCACTTTTTGCGACCCCGCCAATATCTAAACGTTTAACTTTTTTGCCGCTGCCACTGCCACTATCATCATCTTTACTTGTGATCTCGGATGAGGAAGGCACTACCAAAATAAAAATAAATTAATATGAATTCTTTACGCGCGTCAATGATATTATTATAACACTTACATTTATCAAAATCATTCAACATATTCGGTTGAGTGCACTTGTCATCAACACAATGTCCATATAGTGTAAAAGTGATTTCATTCTTTTGCGTGATAAATTTTATCGGATCCTTGAAAGTGAATTTCGATAAATACACGCTTCGCGTTCTTCCACCCACCAATAACACAAATAAGAGTAGTGTAGATAAAAAGATCAGCACTATACTCGCACAGGTCATTGGATTTTTTTTGAATGGTTTAATCACATGACGATATAAGAATGATTTTTCGTTTTTTTCGGGTGATTTTGGAGCACTATTGTCATCGGACATTTCTTTATTTTCGGACAAATCGATGTCTGTAAACATTTTGATGTGATGAAGAAATCGAATTTGATTTTATTCCTTATAAAAATAGGCTCAAAGTAAGTTTAGAAATGTCCACAGTCCCGCTGTGTGTTATAGTGTGTGTTATAGGAAATAGATAATTAATGGTATAAAATAGAGGAAGAGTATGAAATAGAGGAAGGTATGAAAGAAAGGAAAAGAAAGCGAGACAATTATGTTAAAGAGACAATTAGGCTCCAAATGGACAAAAGAGCTATAACGAAGGGATGAAATTCGATAATAACGATAATGATGATGATGGAACGCACTGCGTGTTCACATATTTCGAATATTGTGCGGGAAAGCGTTCGTATTTAAAGAAAAAAATAAGAATACAATTCTTATCAAACATATTTTAGTTCGTTTTAGGTACGCATTACATCGCTTTGGCCTTGTTCTGCCGAATTGTACTTTTAATACCCGAATTATTTTTAGTTGGCAATCATTTCGTAGTTGTAATACATAATGAACAAAGGACAGGTAGAATATATTATTTAAGAATAGGGTGATTACTGAAATAAAATAAAATAACATAAATAGTTTCCTTGTTCGATTTCCAAAGCGGGGTATCAATGCATGTGTACGTGTACTTTGTACCATGTGGTGTTGGATCCAGTCCTGCAGTGTGATACGCGGGATCTTTTCGTTCAAGAACTTTTTGTTACATATCCAGTGTACTTTGTTATTATGCATTGGGCAATACAGGAATCGAATAATAGTTATTACCTGATTGTTAATGTTAAATAAATTAAAATTTTCTATTTGCGGTCAATAAATAATATTAGTATAGTACATTTAATATATTAATTTATTTAAAAGAAATAACTCGTTATTCTCGCTGGTATTGTATTCAGGACAAACAATAAATTTTATTAATCAATTCTCTTTGTATATGATTACGAATTTATTATAACTAATCAACCTAAAGACGCATAAAAGCCAGCAGCAATAGCTTGATGAACTTTTGCCGAAGGATGAAAGCCATCCCAATAGAAATAACTATCCGGATTCGAACAAATAGTCAACGGTTTGCTTTCATAAGTACTCGCACACCCATCTTCGAAGTTAGTGATACCAAGTCTAGAAGCTTGCACTTTTCGATAATAGACCCAAAATTGATCGGCTTGGAAAGCGTAGACTCTCACGTCAGGATGCGATGCTTCGAAGGTCTTGATCGCTTTTTTGAGTTCCTTGTTATTTTTTTGATAAATGTCTTTGAGCAAAGCGAGAAAAGATGGTGCTGACCCTTTGAAGATTGGAAGGAGTGAAATGTCGAAAAGGTTTGGTATCAAAAAGTGTCGAACTCCTTTAGCGTATACAAGAGTCCAAGCGGAAGCTAATCTTGTTACTACATCCGAGGGAGCAGCTGTATAGTTTGTGAATACGTAATCATTTCCAATCGGCCAAAACTTTTAAACGTAATTAAATTATTTACTTTATCCAAGATAAAACACGAAAATAAAGTTATTAAATTTACCACAGCCAGAGTGTGACTAAGATCAGTTTGGTTAGAAACCTTGGCCGTGAAAGTATTAACTTGTTGCTTTATTCCTGGAACTTTGAGGTTTCCATCTGCGCCAGAATAACCTGAATTTTCGAAAAGCACGAGTAAGAATGACGATTATTTCACATCAGGTACTACGATTTGTTATGGTGTCATTAATCAATCACCTTGAACAACATCGTTACTTGAAGAACAATAACGATAGTGAACAGAATTAATCGATTGATACGAAATAGAAAGCCAAATAAACAACTAAGACAAAACGAAACAAAAAAAAAACATACTCGATAGTTGCACCACCGTACGCGTAATTTTCTAATTGAGCCGAAAGCCTTTGTGACAGATGAGCTGTCCAAAGTGGACCATTCGAGAATCCACCTTTATAATAAAATGAAGGTGGCCAAGTTCCATTCGATAATCTGTACACGTTTCCATCATCTAAATAAATGATGAAAATCTTATCACATTCTTTTGTGTTATTCCATTATTAATTATTACTAACCTCCATAAGAATCCGAAAATACGAGTAGTTTATTAAACTTCGGTGTCCACGGGAATGCGTCGAGAAATGACGCGTAAAACGAAAAAACTATTACTACCACTGAAACTAACTTTGTCGACAAGGTTCGACTCATTTTTATCAAAAAAAAAAGTATTGTTATGGGGAGGAAAAGATTCTATCCCCTTGTTAACCAGCTGCGGTAGTTAACACAACATTACACTACACCGATCATCTTGTCTCGATAATCCAAGAACGTGTTTTCTATCGTCACATATTATTAATATATCTTCAAAGCACACGAAGAGTTACCTGAAAAATCAAAAAATGCGCCACAATCGAGAATGATTGGTCGGCCGACCATCTTGTATGCATGTTGCGTAACGTGGCGGTTTTTAATTTCGATATTTTAATTTAAGAAGTGCACGAATGAAAGGCTGCATTAAATATAACACCAATCCGCCAAAATTTATATTTCGCACTTCACTCTCTTTTCTTTCATTCATCATTCCCTTTCCCTTTAACCTTCAGCATCATCATCATCACCTCCGCGTATTTTCCTTTTTTCCTTCTCCCTCATTGATTGAGCATTTTCCTTCTTTACTCAACACACTCGACTCGCATACAACTAGACAAAATACCTTCGCATACAACTAGATACACGTACACATTCTCCCAAAATAACCAGTTGTTCTTTTTTTCCGTTTAACACTTTAAATAGTAGTTTTTCCGAGAAGAGAAGAAACAAAAAATTACCCTAACCCACCCATTTCTCAATCAATACCTTCCAATATATTCCGACTTGAAAAAATGATGCATTCAAAATTTATACTGTGCGCATTAGTTGCAATCCTTTCTACAAGAAGCTATTTCGTTTCGTCGATTCCTCATGAGAAACGAGGGTTCTCTGGTGATGGGACTTATTATAATCCTGGACTGGGCGCATGTGGACAATCAAGTGGTTCTGGCTCCTTCATTGCCGCTATTAATAGACCACAATGGGGAAATCCTGCAAATCCTAACAGTAACCCTATTTGTGGGAAACAAGCAAAAGTAACAGGGCCAAAAGGAAGTTGTACCGTTACTATAGTTGATTTGGTGAGTTCATTATTATTTAAATTATTCGATTGAAATTATCAATGAGACTAATGAATTGTTCATCAATTTAGTGCCCTGAATGCGCATTTGGTAGTTTAGATTTGTCACCAGCAGCATTTAATGCAATTGCTGACCCAAATGCTGGAAGAGTCCCAATATCCTGGGACTTTGTTGGTGGAGGAGGAGATGCGCCACCACCACCACCACCACCACCAACGCCAACAATTAAACCTGTCACCTCATCTGAAACTCCCACTCCCACCACATCAAGTACCACTTCCGCTTCAACTTCCACTACTTCCACATCTTCAAGTGCCACTTCCACGTCAACTTCAAGTGCATCGACTTCCACTTCAAAATCTTCCACCAGTTTATTATCGCCTTCAAATTTCCCACCAAACGCAGCCGTATTTTTCTTCAATGGTCTAGTCGGTACAAAATCAGGTCCAGGACCATCTACATTACCTGATGGCACTAATCCATTAGATTCCTCTTCGAAATTTTTAAAAGGTCAACCTCATGCTAACGATAATAATAGCATTGATGATAGCGTTGATGATATCGCTGACAATAGCGATAGTGAGAAAGGAAAGACTGTATCGTCTGTATCATTTGTCGAAGCTACTCCAACCCCATAATTATGATAATTGGCTTTACATACATAAAATATTATTGTACAGATAACAGTTCAGAGCACATAATAGACGTAACTTATTTTAAATTTTTTTATTCTACTATTATCTTAATTTATTATATATATATATATATATATATATTTTTTATTATCACAATCACAATTGCATTTCTTTGCGTAATATTAAAGTATAAATTGATATGAGTGAAGAAAGAAAAGAAACGTCCAATTCCAAAAGTTGAATTTTGACAGATTTTAAAATTATGTACTATATCGATATCTACTAACCAAATTTTAATGACTATTAGCGTACAACCTAAAAAATTTAACGTTAAACTTTAATTTACCACAAGCCTAACTAAAATCTAATTGAGGAAAATTAACGTTAAGGTTTAAATTTTCTACAGAGGGGCGGCAAATAATGAATATATTTAATTTGAATAATTCATTCATATCGATATTTACAGTATGAGCATTAATTATTAAAAAATTAAATTAATCGCAAGAGTTAAGTCGCTTGACATAATATAAATGTAAGGTTTTCGCAATCGAGTATTTTTAATATTGTGAAGTATTTCTCGTATCGAATAGAAAAAGTTGGGTTTCGCTTTTTTTTAGTGTTACTTCGTCAAGAGTTTCGTCAAGAGTTTCTTCGCTGTTATCTTGTCACTTACTTGATCATCAGAAGAACTAACGCTTTCATCGGAATCATCATTCGAGCCATTGGAATAATTGGAGCCATTGGAATTTTCGGAGTCTTCTTCACATATATAATCGTATCCAGGCCAAATGCCTGTTTCTTGATATTCGTTGACATTGATCACATGACTGTAGATGTCGTGGTCATGGTAGACATGTTGAGAATCATGCAATCTGTAATCAATTTGAAGATCTTGATAAATAGATAGTAAGATGAAACGAATTAATTTATAAAAGTATATTTACCCCCGATATAACAGGAAACGACAAACTAAATTAATTGGATGAAATAAACTAAAGAATTCGCAAGTTCGATAATAGAATCTCTCTAATGCGAAATTTAATAGAAAACAAATCAACTATGATCGAAATATTTTTTACTGAAGTCAACAACTAATGTCAAGATAATTACCAAACGAATACCACCAATTCCATAAACCGCTGCAAAGAAAACACATATTTTGGTTAAAGAAATGATAAAAACATTGTCAATAAATAATGTTCTGAGAAGAAATTTTATCAAAGATTCTCAGAGTCTCGTGATTTTTCAAAAACACAAGCCACATAAAAGTACACGTGAACACCACAAAAATTACGATTTTTCTAATATATATAAAAGACTTGAAGTTGAATTCAATTCTAATATATATGTTATATATATACGAGTTTGGAATTAACTTAAAATATTGGCCAGAGTTAAGTTACTTTAATTTTATAATGCAGGCCAAATTCCAGATTCTATTTCAACTTGCAACATATATATGAAATCAAACAATATTTTTTGTGTTATATAAATTGATAAACTTGTGTATGAAATATTAGTTTATTGAAAGGTGATATTAAATTAAAATAAAATAAAATATAAAAATAATATAGATCACGAATAAATAAATAAAAAAACTTTAATAATATTAAAATATACAAGTTATTAAATATACAAATATTAAAATTAATTAAGTACATAAAAAGTTTGTAAATTAAATAAATCAAATAACTTGAAATTTTTATTGAAATTATGCTTTAATTTAATAGAATATTTATTTATTAATCTATTATAATATTTGATTTAATAAATTATAAGACTCAAAATTTATACAAGAAAATTTTGATTTTTCAATTTTTTAAATTGAAGTACTTTGTATATTATTTTATTTGATTTGATTTGATTAAATAAATTATTTTTAAATAAAATATTATAGTTATTGATTTTTAATATTTATTTTAAATAATAACCTAATATATTTTTGAGTTATAATATAAATATTTAAAAATAAAAGCATATAATTTGGAGTTCAAAATTTTAAAAATCATTTTAGAAAAAGTGTTTAAATTGATTAATAAAATATAAAAAAATATAGTAAAAACATAATAAATAATAAGTAAAAATAATATAATTATATTATTTAGATTATTTTTACTCAAATAATATAAAGATTATGAAATTCAAATTATTTGAATGATATATAGTTTGCAAAGTGTTACTTGACTGAGAATAATATATAAATCAAAAACTCAAGTTATTTAAAATTACATATAATATATTATATATAATCAAATTTTCTATAATTATTATCTTTAGAAAAGCAAAATTTGATATTTATAGAATAAACTTAACTATTATTATCATTTTGATTGATTTTTAAAATACTCAAAGATATTTATATTATTTAAAAAGAACTTTCAATGTCTTAATAATAATTCAAAGTATTAATAATATTGTATAATTATTAAACTAAATACTAAAAATACTAATAATAAAATTACTTAAAGATTGATAATAATTTGTATTTTTTAATGCATAATTTGAACAGCTAGAAAGTGTTCTCAAAATCTTCAAGTTAAATATATAAAAACTATAATATTTATATTATCACAAATATAATTCAAAGACAGATTTATATATTATAATAATAATATTTTTATTAGTGAAAATAATATAATTATGTCATTTTCACTTAGTCTAGATTATTCTACTCAGACATGTGTCATGACAACAGAAATATGACACTGTTATCAATGTTATGATAATAAAAATCTAATACTATTATTATGTATTGTGATGACAGAAATCTGATACTGTTATCATATTTCATAATTTTGATTATTTTTATATATAAAGGATTTGTATACTCTTTAGAAAGTCAAATTCAATATTGATAATATTTTAATCACTTATATAAGTTTTCATATCAGCTTAATATTTTTGATCAATTTTGATTGTAAAGAAATATTTGAATTAGATTATGACATTTAACTATTTTTTCTTTTATATTGAATTCTAATTCCTTTAGAGAATTAAATTTGATAATGATATTTGTACACTAATTTGATGATCTTAATTATAAGATATTCTTCAATTTATTTACCATGATCAATTTCTGATATTATCTAATTATACTATATATGATATTTGGGCACACTAGTAATATATATTATCAAATATATATTATATAATAGTTATCAATTAATGCTATCTAATTGCTATTGGATATATTATATATATATTATATATATACATTATCTGAACATGTTATCAAGTATGAAATTAACTTATTTTACCTGTAGTTAGTTCTAGAAAATCTGTTCTAGTTATATTCTAATTGTGGTTTATATCTCATAATATTATTGAAAAATACTATTAAATTGATTTTATCTATATTTAAGACAAGTTATATTAAAGTATGTCAATTTTGTTTGCTGGAATTTTTAATACCAGTTAGTATTAAAAATATATTCTGAAAACATATCATCAACTGGATATATAACTTCATTTTTTTTATATAATATTATTGAACTTATATATTCTGAAGATATACTATTAAAGTGAATATATAACTTTATTTTTATATATTGTTACCATTTTAATATGACTTTAGGTTCTGTCACGAGAGTACATGTGTTAGAGTCAGATGGGAAAGTTGATGTATTAAATAACTTTAAGTTGGGAGAGTTTACTAAGTTATCTAAAGATAGGTAACATATATTCATTTTGTTGATCAACTAGAATAAGACCAGAAAGATTCAAAGGTAATTGTATATCTTTTATAATTCAATTTATAATAAGTCGAATATTTCTTTTAAGTTTAGTTTATAAACAAGTAAGATGTAATTTTCTTTTATTAATTCAATATTATTATTGACTTCGCAATATAGACGAG